GACTGACAAGCATTGTGATTGGACGAAACTAATTGCAGCGAGCTTGCGAGTAAGTTTTTGCGATGAGTGGGTGAGGGCCTTAAAGCCTTTTTGTCTGGCTATTATTTCATGTTTAATACACGGGGTCAACCAAAGTTTATCGATAGTACTAGTGAAAGCACTAACATTGCGTTTCATTGATCGACAGCGCATGGTAACTATACCAATTGCGATGCCATAAATTTGTTTATGCATGTGATCTCCTACAGAAAAAAGTTTCTATTTTTCAAAAATTGGCTGATGTTAAGTAAGAAATCTCTATAGAAAGTAGATAATTTGAGCAATTTACAACAATTAATAATGGAATTTACATGCAGTATCTAGAAAATATATGTTAGTGTAGAGAGAAGAAAATAAAAGGATATTAATAAATATTTATAGTTATTGATATTGTAAATAGCATGTTGACACAGGATTTTAACAAGCTCTAAATAAATAGTTGTAAATAAGAGGAAAATGAATTTGCTTGCATGGAAGCAAAAAGATCTTTAAATTTCAAAATGATGCTATCCAAATGTAAGCGTAACCGTTTTGAGATATCTGAAGTGGACCAAGAGTGTGATTATACGTCTTCCGGTAAGAGAGGGGAGGTTTTTCGCTGAACCGCGTTTTTAATTCTCCAAATATTGGGTTGCATTCTGCGATGTGTACATTCAATTCAAAATCTTTTGTATATACTGTATTTACACTGAATCTTTCAGGTGTCTGGCATATTCGTTTCTATACCAAGATGGCAGAAGAGTCCAACCGATGTTTTATCCGTTTGTGTGACAACTATATTCTGATAGGTTGCTCTATGTCAGATTGTAAAAAATTAGAGAACCTGGAATCGTCGAGGTACTCCTTAGCATATAAAACGTTTGATGGACATAATCTAAGAGGAAATGGTTGAAATTTGGTCTTCCTTGTACATGTTGTTGTTGAGGGCATCTGTAACGTCGTTATAGGTGGGATGTGGGTCGTGGGATCAAGGTGCGTAGAGTTTCCCTGATATCTTGAATTTTTTCAAAACTATATTCCGGATTACTTCGTTCTTAATTTTGTCTCAAGTCTTTTTTCTAATAATGATATGTCTGTTTGTATACTATTTTTATATTCTAGGGTTTCTTGGGAAGGTATTTGTTCAGATGTGGTGGTATTGGAAGTGGATACATTAGCATCGGATCTTTATAAGTGATTTCGTTTATTGATATTTTGAGGTGGTATGGCCAGGTATAGTTTGATTTTAAATTTTTTTCTAAGTTGTGTATTTTGAGTTTTTGTAACGGTGTTAATTTGTTATTAGATTTTATTCCTCTTACCAAAGTTTCCTTTGAATTGAAAGTTGGGCCTAATTTGGTTTTCTTCCGTTTGCATGTATTCGTCACTCTGACACGCGGATGGAAAACACGACGCGTACTCACCAAGTAGGTTTTAACAACAGAATTTTTTTTTGCGTTTTCGAATTTCTCTGGCATCGTGTGGAGGGGTCCTAAATTCATAATATCATAACGTAAAAATACAGGCTTTTGTCGCAATAATAAACTAGGGATCCAAGGATAGTGCAAAGTTTTAGCTATAATGCAAATGCTGTTATACTTGTGATTGTGCAAAAATGCGCGGTTATCCAGGTGATCTCGCGCTCATATTTCAGCCAATCAGCGCTCAGAAAGTTTGTGAAAATAGAAATCCATCTTGCAGTGTTTAATCGATTATATGTTTTGTTATTCTTGATGGAACCATTCGAAATTTTGTGATTATGTTTAGTTATAAGAACTATAGCTCTGATATAAATTTGGAACCTAAATAGAGTATATTTCACGAGATTTTAAGTTGTTTCAACCGAGAAATGGATTTTTATATGACAACTAGTCCTAGTCCTTTCCCGCCATTTCAGATCACCTGGATATTATCCGTTTTAAGTATAATAAAACGCTTTTTCGTGAGTCTAGGTAATTGTCGAGAGTCGGAGTATAAACTCGAGAGTCGAGAGTATAAAGTCGAGAGTATAAAGTCGAGAGTATAAAGTCGAGAGTCGAAAGTATCAGGTCGAGAGTCCTAAAAATCCCAATTTTCGCACACAAGGGGTATTTCTACTTATATATTACGTTTATTTTTACTAATATTACACTGCAGTTTACTTGTGAATTGACGCCTCATGTTTCAACTTCCGAGGTAAAATATTATTGTGATGCGTATTATATTATCAATATATTTCATCTTTTATCAAGAAAACAAAAGCTACGGCAAGGTGTGCGTCTAGCTCAATTTTTACGTACATCATTATTTTGCGAGTTGTGCTTTTGAGGAATATAGCTCAAACAAACAACCCGTTCTCGCCTGAACTGGAGTATTAAATAAATGATGGAAAAATTTTATAATAAAATATTTCTGAGAAGAATCCCACAAGATACTTTCAAATTGCACTATACTGTATAAACCTTAAAGTAAATAAACCTTGCATGATTTACATAAGCGATGCGTGAATCGATCACTTGTCCTGACAGCACGAAAATATAACCAAACATACTCAAATTACATTACTATAGTCGCGATATTATATATGGATATCAACCATAACAATATAATTAGCCTTGAATGCCTACTGTGTGGATCCACAGTTTTCATTTGAAGCTTTTTTATGACAGTAAAATTGGTTTGTGCATAGGCGTACGGGACTTTTAAAATGTGGTCGCGCAGATGAAACATGGTCTAACGTAATTAATGTAATAGTTACTTTGCCCTTCTTTTGGACTGATTGGACGCCTGTATATATTCAAAACCGATCCGTCTATTTACATAGCCATACGCGCGCAATCGCACTATAGCCTACCTAAATAAATACGAAGCACTAAATAAATATAGCTCTATGAAGTTGTGCTGTAAGAAAACGAACTAAATAATATTAGCACTTAATTGTCAACATCTTAGCGTGAATTAACTGCAATACGTAAAATACAAAACAATCCTATGGTTCATGAAGTTTGTGTTGTCTAGCACTCTATTCAATGAAGTATACGATCTAAATAAATCGTGCAGTGTAATATTCGATGCGTGTGTTTATAACACGATGCGCGCATCAATGGATCAGTTCAAATACAGTGTTTATTACGTGTAGTAATAGTGCATGTCGTGTAGCACCTTAGCATACCATTTAACCTGATAATACTGATCGGCACTTGCTAGTAATATCGCCATTTGCTTCAGATTTGTACATTTTAAACAGAACTGTCTCGCTCCATTGTTTCTCTATAACAAATAGTAATTATTAAGCACTGTTATGGTTAAAAAATTTTTAACCTCCATAGTCGATTATACAACAGTATCAATTGCTATCAACACATGTTAGATTCGTGAAGTACATTATCAAAATAAGTCGTGTATATTATGTTATGCGTGTAGTTAAAATACGATAGTGGATGTGGACGTATTCTTTCTTGGTTCTGCGTTTAGTGAGTTCACAAATTCTCGAACATTTGCTCGCTTTTCGCTTAAAATATTTCAAAACAACACTTCGTCGCTCCATCGCTCCTTATTGTATTTTGCGCTTCTGAATATTAATCGCGCCTTATGCGCATTAATGCGCTGTTCAAGATGAAATCGGGTGTACCGGGGGGAACAACACACATATCATCGTAACGAATGTTATAAAATTTACAATAACCACAGTAATTCTTTCATATTTTGTTTAAATTGGAAAATGCTAAAAGAATATACAAATCAGAAAACTATATACTTGATCAAACAAACTTCCTGATACCCACCCACATAGGATCAAAGACGACAAACAAAAAACATCCGCCCCCCGGAGTTTACACTATGACTGACTGACTGACTGACTGACTGACTGACTGACTGACTGACTGACTGACTGTCTGATGTGAATTTTCGCCACTCACCACAATACTGCAAAGTTTCACAGAAACTTTGCACTAAAAATGAATCATTGAGATGAATCATTAACTAATAAAGTTCCTCTCCGTAAAATGTATCCTCTTCTTCTGAGCTAAGACTCATTTCTTCGGGAAGTTCGTTTTCGTCGGGATCCGAGTGATTATATTCACCCTGATCTATATCATAAACATCATCATGTATTTCAGATTCCTCTTCACCGGAAAAGTCGTTTTCGCTATGGGAATCATCCTCGTAATTGTCCATATCATGATGCTCGTCATCATAAGAATGATGATTTTCATCATTTTCAGAAGAATAATCGTCATCATCATCATCGCCGTCATCATATTCGTCATAATCGTACTTGTCAATAATATCTGGTGAGTGGTCGTCCTCGTTACTGTAATCATATGCTTCATCCTGAAAAATGTCATGATCATTATCATCATCTTCATCATCATGATGTTCATCATCATCATCACCATCATCACCATCATCACCTTCACCTTCACCTTCACCTTCACCATCACCATCACTACCACCATCACCATCATCATCACCGTCATCATCATCACGATCACCGTCACCATCACCGTCATCATCATCACGATCACCGTCACCATCATCATCACCGTCATGATCACCATCACTCCTTCTTTTCTTTGCCATTGGCGGATCAATATCTTGTGAAATCAATGTCGTTGAGTAATCTTTATCTTCGTTAAGATAAGAATGCCTTAATGCTTCAAAAGCATACGGTCTTTTTTCAATTTCATGGCAGATCAACTTCAAAACAAACTCTCGGGCATCTTTATCATTAAGTACTTGTAAATTTACAGGATTTCCTTTCATAATATTCCCCATGCGATCATGAATAGAACCAAATGGATGATCACCTTTGGTTAAAATGAAGAATGCAATCATTCCAGAAACTTGAATATCAGACTTTTTCTTAAAGCGACATTTCACTTCGTGATCTATTGTTTCAATTATTTCCGCAGCCATCCATCCTGGAGTTCCTTTTGCATTAGTATAAACTGTAGTTTCCTCTGCCTTTAAGATACGACTTATTCCAAAGTCTGCCAATCTCATATGACCCCCAATGTCGACCAAGACGTTGGACGGTTTAAGGTCTCTGTGCAAAATTCCTTATTGTGAAGAAATTCCAGACCAGATAAGATCTCTTTAATCATACGTCGAGCATGTTTTCGCAGATCGTCTGGACTTTGGGAACGAACATGATCCTTTAGCGTCTCTTCACAAAGATCTATAACCAAATACATGAAAGTCTTGTCTCGAAAAAAATGTCGGTAGTTTACAACAAATTGCGAATTTTTTGTCTGAATTAGAGATAGAATGTTTCTCTCATTTTCTGCTATTTCTTCAGATACTTGAAGTATCATTGCTTTAATAGCCACTTCACTACCATCTTCCATAACACCAAGATAAACACATGTGCCCATTGAACCACTCCCGAGCGAAAAGGATTTATCTGTAGAAAAGTACTTAACTGGTGATTCGGCCTATAAAATACACACATAAAGTATATCATTGATTGAAGAAAAGTTTGCCGGAATCCAGAGTTAGTTAAAGCCTACGTCGAATCATTGTGCTGTAAAACACGAGAGCTGAAACGCGTATATGTCGCCCTCACGCCGTGGTCTATGTGAATGTGATGCGTAAAGGCGATTGTCCTTTACGTCCGCCACGCCACCGCGGGCGAAGCGCCCTTTGTTTTTCAGGCCCGTCACGGTCACATGGACAGAATTTCAAAAGCCGCTTCGCCCGCGCGGGTGAAGCGAACACTAATGGAGAATTGCCTTAAAGGAATGGGAAAGACTCCGCGTTTGCCGAGAAACAAAAAGTTTTTGTTGAAGGGTGAGATTAAAATTCTCAAGTTGTGGATGAGCAAGATCGTAGTACCCAATGTAAATTTGATATCTTAAAAGATATCTTAAAAAGCGATGCAAAGTGACGGCTATTTAAACCGCGAACGAAATGAAATTTTTCTCAGAAGTAGCTAAATTAAGTTGCCAAAAGTTAATTTGTCAAAAGTTAACTTGAAAAAAGCATATTAGCGAGGGACCCTCTTCGTACTATTTTTTGCGCTTTTCAGTATTTCTCGATTATTCAAAACTTCTCATTTTTCGACATTGCGACATTCACTTAAATATGGACAAGAATCACGTCAGGGAATGTTTTGGGAAAGGTCTCAACATCTCGTTCCAGAAAATCGATTAAAAAATACTATAATAATAAATATCTTTACAAAATGTCATAAACCATACTGGGTAGCAAATACTGGGTGTCCCAAAAAACCCCAAAACATTTGAAATCACCTATAAAAATGTAATAGCTGAATTTGAACCACAAGTGTATAAAGTAATAAAATGGGACCCACAAGTATATAAAGTGATAAATGTTTAAAATGATGGGTCGATGACAGTAAAATTTATTTGTATAACCACAAATGATTTTTATTACCAAAACACTTTACAAATATGGATAGCAATATTTAAATTTATAGCTCATCACGATGTTCTTCGACATTTCTTTCTTATCTAGCAAATTTTTACTTTTGTAGGCCTATTTGGCATTTTATAAGTTGTGTTAATCCCCATGGGCGAAAAATCGCGAACGAATCATTTAAATTTTAACAATAGGTGAATTCAATAGTTTCGGGGGTTTTTTGGGACACTCTGTATAGTGCTTAGCATTATAAATAGAATCATTTTTTGCAACATCCACGCGTAAGTCATGTTTGTAATTTTCGACACTCACAATCAATTTAATTTAAGTGACCTTTTTCATGCTTGACACTTGGGCCTTGTTATGCGCTAAATGTTAATGAACAAGTCTTTTTTATGTTCATTTGCATTTGATTCGGCACATGAAACGTCTGAAACAGGCATCAGTCGTACAGGTACATCGTAGGAAAAAAAAAGCCAAGCATACGTTCATAAGTTGATGATGTAGGCTCTTGTGTCAATCATTAGTATACATAGCGTTTTCGAAATATTACGTTACAAAGAACTTAGTTCCATTAAATTTAGTGCATTTAGTTTAGTTTAATACAACCGTGGCAATTACTACCTTGAACAACTTGGAATCATCCAGTGCCTTTAAACTTTTAATTTTCTCACGGTGTTTGGAGGACATGTTTCTAAACCTATCTTGAATATCTTAGTAAATCATCACCACATCATCGATACCTGAATAAAAAGAAAAGCAGAATATAGCGCGGGAAATAAAAAAGTATAAGCAGCGAATATTGACAATCTTTGCGGTGGAGCTCATGCAGGAATACACCGTGTTATATTAAAATTTTCCTCTACCCATGCAGCTCTTTCGCGTCACAACACAGTAAATTATATTAGCCGAATTACAAAGTTAAACTAAGACACCGTTCCAACCACATGCCAACCCTTTCCATATACTTCAGGAATTGGGTAATCAACATGGATATATGTAAAATCCAAAGTCAATGGACCATTCCCATATTAAAATAAATCCTGAATAGGAAAATACGTCGATTTTGAGGTAATAATACAGCTGGAAATAACACCCCAAAATTGGTAAAATGGGAAAATTAGTAATCCTGAAATCAATGACAAATCTTATTACGATTCTGAAGCCGGAATAAATATTCTCAGCAATGTGAGGCATATATATCACTTGATATACATTATATCCACGGCTGCAGGCATTTTTTTTAGAATATTCTTCAATTGAGGGGGAGTAAACGACAATAATTTTATCAACATCTGAACTCAGAATGATTCCAAACTCCAATCCGATGGTCTTTGTCAAAATACTTGACGCTCCTGGTAAACGTTCGTTCGATTTTGGCAGCACTTTCTTGCCTCCCAACACGGGTCGCACATGTCAGCCGTTGGGGCGCGTTTTAAAAGTCGAAGACATGACCAACACATTCTACACGATAATTTTCGGTTAGGTCTTGTAAAATTTTTAAATCTCTTAGAGACAAGTTCTTACAATGAGAATGGTACCACATCTTGCATCCTTGGGAAAAGATCGAAGCATTGCAGACTGAAAGTACCACATAGCTATTTGCGCTTAAGACTTAAGTGTGGGTGTAGACTTTTTGACCATTAATTTTTCAAAGCGATAAATTTCTGTCTACCGAACGAAGAACTTAAATCACAGAGTTTTAAGTCAACAAATAAAGTGTTTTTTTTACTGTCAACGCTTGAATTAGAATACCATATTTATATAAAAAAATTATACAGTATTAATCCCGGAGCCGGCTCTAAGCGCCGTGCGAGGGTACTAATCCCGCCCGGAGATTAGGAATTACACCCGGGTATTCTGACAGAACAAAGGCGAACCAAAGTTGCCCAAATGTCATGGACGTTCAATGGTCATGGTAGCTGTGCGCAAGCGCGAAATTTGAACGAAGAAAGAACGGTCGTGTACAACTTGCTGATTGGCTAAGACAAAAAGAGAGCATGCATGAGAGCGTCAGCATTTTAACCGTCATTTTGCAATCGACTTTTTAAAAATATAAAATGAAATCATGGAGTCAAATACAGTATTAAAAGATTTTACAGGTCATCACAGCTACAGAGGAGATATGGACAGAGGCTTGACTCTACCGATTTAGTGCTGATGCGAGCGTCCCCGAGTTTTGGCAAATACACGTCATTCCCACGTCATTTCCACGCGTCACGCAACCACCCGATTCTCTTCTTGTAAGCTCTTTCGCCCAAATTTCAATACAAAAGTATAGAAAAAACGCTGTTCGAAAGGTGAAAATTGATTTTTTTTTAACTGGGTCGGATTATCTTCATTTTTGGACTAAAATTTTGGAGGTTAACGGTAAGTTGTTTGTTTTGTTGGGTTCAAATGATCGTGCTGTTTTTAAAAGCAGTATTAAAATCCTTGTTTTGTAAGTGAGTTCTGATTACCCTTGTCGGCTGCCATATTTGTACCCGAATTGTCAAATTGTGTTTGCCAAAGTGAAACGTTGTCAGAGCTGCTTTTTTTTTATTTGTCAACTAGCAGGCAGAGCGTTTGCATATTTGTGGAATAAAAATAAAGGACGAATTTCAAAGAATACCTCTAGATTCGCGTTTTAATTTTAAAATATTGACAAAATACATTGCAAAACATTTCAAAACAAAACAACGTTTTTAGCGTTATATAGCTTTAACTCGCAGAGGATATCAAATTTTTAATAATTATTACCATTTGATGATACAAACATTCACTGAAAACATTCATAATTATGTATCTTTACTTCTCAAGCAGAGTCGCTTTTCGATTACATACTTTTTCAGTCATTTTTCAAACTTCTTTGATCAAATTTTCACCAAGCATATTATCCCTGGGCTTTCTAAAGAAAAAATATTTTAGCTCTTACCCTACACTACAAAAAACGTTTGGAACATTTTAGCCATAGCGGTTAAATTTTTCACCAAGCATATTATCCCTGGGCTTTCTAAAGAAAAAATATTTTAGCTCTTACCCTACACTACAAAAAACGTTTGGAACATTTTAGCCATAGCGGTTAAATTTTTTTTAATTGCATTTTTACTGGCAAAAATTTTATTTTTCCTTATTAAAAATATGCTCGGAGCTTACCGGGTGTAAACGCTTACTAGCGCGTGCGAGTAAAAAATTGGGAACGCGTGGAGCCGCGAGTCGACTCTCTGTCAATCTCTCCTCTGTGTCACAGCACTGAAAGGAACGAGTCGTAGTTTAAAATCTTTGAAGTAGGTTATTCAGTGTTTGCTGTAAGAATGCAGTGTTATTTTGACAAGTACGATCTTGGTATGTCGTTTAACAAGGAGCTAACCGACCGTTTAAGGCTTTACATCATCACTTAAACTTTAAAAAGTGTTTTCAAAAGTGTACTTCAGAGTTTTGATGAAACAAATATCACTTTGCAGCTTATATAGTCACTAAAAACATTGAGTAAAATAGATAATCGAAAAACAACATTTTACGTTGAGAGCTTCTATGATAATTTAGTGCTTGTGCTGTTTTGATGATTTAAAGGTTTAGCTATATAGAAATGTTTAACACTCACTTAAATTGCAACGTAATGCAGCAGGCAAAAAGGTGATTTCTGTTCACCTTTACGACTGTCTTTGTTTCCGAAAAATTTGCACCCGTTTTTTCATAATAAATTATTAGCGTAGAAAGTTAGGTCTGGGTAGCGCACGAAAGATTTTGCTTCGTTTAAAATGGCGAGGGGTTGCTGCATGCATGCATGTATTTCTAGTTACCTTAATGACCACGCGTCGGCGTAGAGCTCTAAGCCTCTGACACAAGAGGCACATGCACATATGATGACAATTTGCGTTTAGGCATGAATTGTGCAATATATCAAAGATCGATTTGTTTTGGGGTTTTTTATTTTAATTTCCGGTATTTCTATTCTATTTAGCGAGATACGCACTCTACAGGGTGTATCAGAAAAAATGTCCCAAATGTAAAATTTCCGTTTTTCAGGATAATTTGCAGAATTTGGCAAATTTTTGTGTTCCTAGAGATAGATAAGACTTATCTGGTATATACTCAACATTTCCACCATTTCTTACTAAGCAAATTGCGGCTCGTCTGAGCATGGTAAACACTGAGCGGCGAACCACATTTGTCTGTCCTGCCTCAAATTATCCATTTCGTTCGAAATTCTTTCTTGCAAATCGCCTACGCTACCACCGGCAAATCTAGGCGAATCGACAGACAAATGGTTCGCTGTTCAAGGTTTAGTATGCTCACACAAGCAGCAGTTTGCTTAGAATGAAATGGTGGACATGCTGAGGATTAACATCACGAATAAATCGCTTTGTTTTTGTGTTCAGTTTCTCGCTTTAATTTATTCATTTGCCCAGCCTTACATGAGATCGGTCACGCTAAAATCAACCATTCATTTAATCCACTGCGCGCAATGAAATATTTGTCACCTTTAGGGGTCGCGCGTTGCTCCCAGTATGCATTATTTTTCCTGAAACTTTGACAGTTTATTAAAAAGCTTTCCTACTTTTAGACAGCTAAATAATATCTCAATTTCAGCTTCACATTTTGCGCGCAAGCCCTCTCAATATCAGTGGAAAGGAACCACCCCCCGGTAACATAATTTTGTTAATGAAAAACCAAACTTGGCCTAGGTATACCAGATAAGTCTTAACTATCTCTAGGAACACAAAAATTTGCCACATTCTGCAAAATATCCTGGAAAACGGAAATTTTACATTTGGGACATTTTTTTGATACACCCTGTATATATCTATTATTTGTATGGTATATCCAGAACTGATGGCAATAAAAGCCGTCATCAAGCATTTGACTATACGAAAGGACTACAATTTGGGTGCCGGCGAAACGACCATCACTAAGGGTACGAAACGACCGGGCGTATGAGATAACGACTGGTTCACGCTACGTTTTGTTTTTTCAACAAAAAGAATTTTCCGATTATACTGAGTTGGCTAGAAATTAATGATGCCTGAAAGCATGATGTCGGTTTCGTTCTAACGGCAATTCTTCACGAAGGTAGTTTATGGGTTTATGCAATTCTCTACGAAGGGTCATGTACAAAGGCAGTTTATTTTAACCCAGTTCCTAGTTGAATTTTTAAATATTTTATTTAATCCTGAGTGTGTTCAGTATTTTCTTATGGAGCCAAGTTGAATCGTTGATCTATATAATCCTCTGGAGTAAAATTTACTTGTATTGTAGAGCATGTTAACGTTGTTCAAAATTTATCTCTGCTAATCGGCTTTCGATTTTAGATCATATACTTTTCCGTTAATGGGTATGGATGTTGCAAATAGTTGCGGAGACCTACATATTGAAGATTTCAAGTTTTTAAAGATTTACTGTTTTAAAGACATATTCATCCTCCCGGGATCATAATAGAATATGCCATGGGTAATTTGCAACCGTGATTAGTTTGAAACCTTGTCATTCGGCAACTACATATAACAATTTATTTTGTTGTGACGCGAATTAAATAGCTGCGTGGCTAGAGGACGCACGAGCTCGCGTGAATTATGCAGAATTATTATATACCACTTGTCAAAATGTGGTGTTCGTACCATTTCATTGGTCGAGCTATAGAGTGAATCACATGAGAGTGACGAAATTTTGATGTTCATACTTTGGATAGCTTCCAGGGGCCGGTTGTTCAAAAGCCTGTTAGCTTAACCCTGGGTAAATTCAAATTTTTACATCAGTTAATCGCTCGTTTATGTAGTTGAACACGTTTTTCCATAAATATTTTGTGGATAAATCTTATATTGTTAGTTCTGGAAATAGCGGTGCAGAACCATGAACCAAAACAGCTGAGTAAAATTTGACCCAGGGTCAGCGCTAACCTAGCTTTGGACGACTGGCCCCGGGTGTATAGACCAATGTTATTGTAGAAGTAACAAAGTATGCGATTAAGTAATAAAGTACAAAATGTTGAGCATTGCTAAATAATTTATATATCACAAGTGAACATTACACTATTTACTACAGTATTACTGTTGTTGTTGAATGCAGAACAAGTGAACATTACTTGGGCATCTATTTCTAAATAATCTATTATAGTTCTAAATAATCTATTATTTTATTGTTGTTGAATGCACCTAGCAAGTGAACATTAAATTGGGTATTTTGGCTGAACATGTATCACAAGTGAACATTACTGTAATTGCTGTTGAAGGCCTAATATATTTGGACTGTTAGAGGAGTACTCTAAATGTTTTATACCTGCCACTTGGAAAAATTGTTGTACTTTTTTGAGTTGAAAATTGAAAATTGTTGTGTTAATTTTAAACATTGGTTAATTAAAATATATATTATAAAAGTTATGTTATATTTCGGTCCACTTACGTAGTATTCTGTTATTTGTGCGAGTGTATCTTTTCTCCCTCACTATAATGATTAATGCATGTCTATGCGTCCAGCCGTGCATTACGCGTAAACGAACTTGCCAGTTCATGATCAATACCAATGATCTCGCATAAACGCGGAGAGACACATTTACAAATTACAAATCGATATTTTGACTACATACACAAATACAGACGAGTTCATGCTCAATATACAATAGCAATGACGGCAAGAAATGTGAGTCGTGTGACGTTTCATTTCGCGTAAATTTACTCGGACAGAGGGACATTTACAAATCGAGATTTTGACTACATACCGCTCACACAAATACATACGTCGCGCTAAAGACTGGGTCGAATGAACTCTGGCGAAATGTTAGCCTACCGCCCTACCCTGCCAAGAATAGGAAGCTGCCTTCGGCAGCAATAAATTCAATGGTTTAATTCAGGCTGGTTCTATAAAATCACAGTTAATAAAACGGGACGATGAACTGTTAAACCTGGAGGTGATTGCTATTTTATTATTTATGACTTTATACACGCGGTTTTTCAATTTTACCGTACGTATTATGTATACATTTTATAAAAATGTATATATTACAAAAAAAGCGAGAAAATGTATGGACACTTAGTTCTATAGACTTTCTAGCTCTAGTTCTACTGTTCTAGTGTCAGTACAATTCAGTACAAAAACTCGCCATATCAAGCTGTGTTTTGTCATAACAACAGATGGTTGATTTGCCCATTAGCGTTTGTTTTTAAAACCCATGCAAGCCCATGTGCTTCAACATATACCAGAGTGAGGGACACAAAGGATTATATCCCCTTTATTAACATGGTAGAGACAACTGAATACAATTTTATGTGCCCATTCTATCTAAAGAACAAATAGTGTAATCAAATATTTTTGTGTGAATCCACTAGTATTTTATTAGTAATACCTTTCCTCAATATTTGTAGATGATAAAATCATGTGCTATCCACATTATGCTACCCTGTGCTACAATTGATGTTGGGAGTGAATTATAGCAAGTGTGACCTAGCTATGATATATGAAACAAACAAATCAATGTATTCAAAAAATATTAGGATGTAAAAAGTATGATTGACTTTTACCTCGGCCTGTCAAGTATCAAATTGGCTATATTGTCAATGTACTGATTATCAGGAAAGCTTATTAATTGATCTAATTGTTTTAATTGCACTCTGGTGTATAAAAGCGTAGGGATCGATTATAGACCTGTACCTTCTTTGTCAGTTTTATCTTAATTAACAGCATCAGTTTTATGATTGTTACATTGAATTCGTTAAAGTTTGTATAGTAAATTATATATTTGTTTCACTTATATTCACAGTACATATCAAAGTTTCCCTAAAAAATATGGTTAATTAACTGTAATGCAGGTTCTTCATTTTTCCATATAATTTATTATGTTCCAACGTGCATCTAGATCTTAATTGTTATTTTGCTTCCATTAATCTCACACCGTTGCCCTGATCTTTGAAGCAAATCTTTAAAACTAAACCAAGATGTAGTAAAGATTTTTAATTCTGATTTTTAGCAGTAATTTTCTTTCTGATAAGAACGTCTAGCAGAAGTTCCTATAGGACCTGTTAGAAATTCCAATAATATCATGGGCCAATCTCCGATGGGATATTATAAAGAAATTTCATATATTTCCTTTGCTTTTGGGAATTTTCTTAAGGATATTAAAGCATGTTTTTTAAACAAAAAAAAATTAAATTGGTTTCTTAATTCACAAAAAATATTAGTGTTAAGTAAACCTATTTTCTTCTTCTGCACTCACACATAATCATCAGGTTCTTTCAGGTATCACATATGCCTGTATTGCGTATGGTACCTATTTTTTTTCAGGCCTACATCATAGCTGTGCGTACATATGCAGGCATAATGTTGTATAAAAAAATATAATGCTTGTGAGCCAATGGGCATTCTCAGACTAATTTCACTGGCAGCTATTATCTTCAACTAAAACAGGAAGTGCTTAATTGAAACTAGGATAGTGCATTGATTAATTTACACATACTGTAATGTCAAAATGCTTAGCATACCAATATTCCATGCCAATGGTTTACTATTATTTCTTGGGGAGTATATATGCTGCAGCAGTCCAAACTATATGCAAAGGAGTTGTTTTACTGGTATCTTCCATCTAATACAATTTGGTGGGGTCATATTGTGTATTATAATATAGCTACTCACTGTATATGAGCTATTCTGCAATCTGATTTATTGATATACTACCTAGAGTTTGTATCCAGAAAAAATCCTCAACATGCAAAGTGGAGCAATCTTTAGCTCAAATCAGAGGGCCTGCATTAGTATGGGCAGAGCTGATGTCCAGACCTGAAGGGTCTTTCCTTTAAATGAAAGTCACGTAGTATAAATTCCAAAGCCATGTTAATTTTTATTTTTATTATTCTCCATATATATATATACATACTGTAAAATAACTGATGCATATAAGTTTGTGAAGAGAGTAAATGCTCTGTAGGAAGCACTTAAAGACAAGGTTTAATACACATACACTAAACATAGTACCTGTAACCGCTTTTTTGTCTCAGCAAGTCAGTCTCCAATATTTTACTCCAATACCACCATAGCCTAGTCATCTCATATCGTAAAATGATCCTATTTTTCAGATCAATATTGCTACACTATAGTATAGTGAGAGCTTTATTGTAAATCTTCCTGATGTGGTTCTTGGAATATGGCGTTTTGAAGTTGGAAAAGTTAGTGAATATGCACTTCCGGTTCACTGACGTATGTCATATTATACTGAGCGGAAGTTAATTATGTCCTTTCTGCGCAACGGTTCTAGCTGCAGGTAAAAATGTGAGGGCTCCAAGGCTCTGATGTAAAAGTTCCCCAAAATATCGCATGATTTCAATTTTTCTGAACATAAAATCTAGTTCATATTCGTTTTAGCTAAATTTTGAGGTGGGTATTGATTTTCCTGTATTCTCTGGTCGCGTCTTTAATCCTGTCTGATTCACAGGTTAAGGGAGTTAGTATAAGCGCGAATCCAAAGAGTTAGACAAAGTGAACGTATCATGCGGTTTATTTACATTTTTAAACAACTGAACTTCTATATATACTTTTTAAAGTACGATGTGCTTCTGAATTTCGCGATCTAACAACATTTAGGTTTGCAAAGCATCTAAATGAGTATGAACTGAATTGTTTATGTTCGAAAGTTTTATATTTAAGACTGGCACGTGCGCGGCACGCCGGAGTTAACGCCAGAACAGGCGTCTTGTTGTTAAATATAAAAGCGTAGCGAAACTAAATAGTGCTATATATATTTAGACAGGAATCTTTTCAGTTTGTGCAAAATATTCTGTTTGTTTAAGGGGGTACACTCATTGATTCATCTTAATGGGTACACTACGAATATATTTTTTCTTTAAGTTGGATAACGTTAAGATATATTGTTTTTATTATATGTGTATAGAGATTTATGCACAGCAGAATGATGAAATAAAAATCGTATTTCACTCTGTCAATTAATTTCATGCAATTTGATTGGACGTACGATTTTTTAACGTGTGAAAAATGCCATAGACGGCTTTTGATTGGACGTACGATATTCTTCACACGTGAAAAATTGTCGTATTTTAGCGACAATTTGTTTACATTTTTTTCAAGATGTTGTCGAAATATAAGAGTGAGATTCAAAACATAATTCTCATATTCAAGATATTTTCACATTCAGCACATTCTCAAATCTTTCGAAAAGAATAACTAACTTCTATTGAACAAAATTACAAAAAAACTGCCTATATTTATTGTCTATATCTAGAATCTATATTTATATTATTAGTATAGGTAGTCATGCGATAAGTAATCGTAATTATTATTTATTCAAAATAATTAACAGCTTCTGATTGGTTGATAGCCATGTGTGAAATCGTCATGTCCAACGTGTGACGTCATAACGTGTGACATCACACCAATGGCGAAGGCATCAACGTCCCAAAAGAGCGGGAATGTGAAATCGACACAAATTCAAGCGAACAATTCAAAATTGTAATGTTCATTCTTTGAAATAAATAATAAAACAAATATTGAATTCGGTTTTCATAAGGATATGAAGAATTATCGAGCCTTAGTTTTTCATTATCAACCCCAGCCTTCGGCTTCACTTGATAACCACAAACTTCGGCATGATAATTCTTCTTATTATATACACAAGCGCCAAATATGAGGTATGCTGCAATTTCATTGGTTGGCTACTAGACAGATATTAGCTCATATGTGTCTAGTAGAGAAAGTAAACAAAATAGCGGAGAGATTTGGGGAGTTGAGTGAAATAGAAATCCAAGCTTTAGTTGATAATAGCACACCAAAATGCACCGAAAGGGCGACAAAGTTTGTGTATACAATAAAACTACGCGCCTCGTCGGTTATTAGCTCATATACGACTCGAGTTCGCAGAATAACTGTTAAATATCATGTTCAACCTCATTCAATAATTTTTTAATTATTTGTTTTTATTATTTGGTGTAATACAATAGTATGAACTTTTCGGTCGTAATTTTCAAATGCAAACACGTTAGTTTCTTGTAAAAATAAGGTCTTACCAGACTCCTATCCATTATTTTCTACTTTAATGTAGCAGTATTTTCATTTACCTTTCTGGCCTTATTTTTTATCCTATTGGGCTTTTAGTCTGTATGCAAAAAAAATTCTCCAAAAGATTTCCGGCGTCCAATTTCCGTTCTGTAGTACAATTACTTAAATAATTGTCAGTATTTCTACACCAAAATTTTAAAATCCCTTTTTTTGAACCCTTTTTTTCGTAAGAAATTCCTTGGAGACACCGACTGATATCATTGTCCTTTTTTGCATACATTTAGCGGGCATATTCAACAATTCGTCACCGAAGGCGAGGTGATTACAAGCCTATAGGAAGTAGGATATATATATAGCATATAAATGTTGATATAAATTTCGAGAATATTACAAGAATACTGAGGTGTGTAGTCACCGGGCGTAAGACGACTAATTGTTTGAGTATAAATTTCGAGATGTTTACAAATAATAATCAACACAAAATATATTATTAATAATGATTAAAAAAATATTAATTATTTTTTTCATAGAGAAATTTCTTATTTGAAGACAAAAACACAAAGCTATAGCCACAGACGAGTGAGCATCACTTCAGAGACAGTGAATTTTGACCAATCAGAATGCAAGAAAATCAACCTTGATAGTTATACTAAAACCTAATAATGTAAAAAATATATATATGATGTTATATATTATGCTACTTCCTCCTAAGATGAATCAGACCATCCATATTCATGACATGATCTAATTTCGAATTGTTGGTAGTCGCCAGCGAAGTGAGCTAAGCCGGTGGAACTGTGAAAGTGATTAAACTATCCTAAACACGGACTATGTGCACTGTTGGGAATGCTTAGTTCATTGCTACCATCACATCTAAGTTATCAGATTCGATCAAGAAGCGGCTATATATATAGTGCCCTGTTTTCTCTCTTTTTATTATAGTTTTATAAAAACCGATTTTTGTATACATGTGTTATGTGATACCCCATTTGGCAGTATTTGCTATGTTAATTGTAAATAATTAACTCAAATGCTCTAATACTTTTTTGAAAGTACTCCGATACGCTCCCCCGCAGTGTTTTCTGCCTCCCGTCTTGGTTTGAATTATATTTGGCTGTAAGTCTGATGGATGACTTGTGGTCTACCTTTTGTCGATTGCACGACAGCTCTAATTGATAGAGTTGTCACGACAGCTCTAATTGATAGAGTTGTTGAATTGGGCGCTCAAGGTAGGACATCCTGCTCGTAACTTCACTGGTCTAACGGCCACTTCCCGATCACAAATCAACTTCTCCCGATGCCAAGTTGCCATTTTCCACGGTTCTTTTCATCAGCGGATTTGATAATAACCACGTTACCAACATTTATCTTGAGATTTCCATTTGGGTGCTTCAGATTGTGGCTTTCCTTGAATGCTTATAGGTACTATCCAGTCCATCTATTCCAAAGCGCATCCTTTCATCTCTTGATGTGTTTGGTTCTCTTTCGAAGTTCGGCAGGCTTGACTACAGCATAATCTTGCTCAGGCAGCACGTTAGATCGGCCAGAAACTATCACGTGCGGGGTGAGCATTGGAAGTTGTATGTCTTCCGCTATAATTATGTAGAATAGGGCGGTTGTTAAGGGCGATCTATGCGTCAAGTGACACGTTTTCTTTTCGGTCCAAGTGAGGAAGCGATTCCCAATCGACTTGTTGAGCGATCTTTTCACCAATCCGACCATCAAGTTGGCTGCCTCAGGGCGCTTCGCTGAGATTGAATTGCTACGTAATTTCGTACTTTGCAAAAAATCGTTGAGTCGTTCGTGACGTGCTACATTCTTCAACCAATTTGCTGCTTCAATGAACATTGTTGGTGTAAATATTTGACGGACGTTCTGAAACATATAATTTCTGTACTTTAGCACGATTCTAGTGGACTAAAGAATTATTCAACCAATTTTCGATGGGTTTTGAAGTAGTGCCATGTAATATTTTTTCATTTTTGTGTCCCTTGACATTTCATCAATTATGTCGCCATTGCCATGTCTCGTCGCCTTTCTGCACGATAAATGCCAGTTTTTGATCCCCAGCTGTATTTTTTTCACAGCATCGATAAATAATTGATGGTACGATAGCAGCTATCCAACATTTAAAAGCATTTGTTCCACTTCAAAGTAAAAAACCACCCCTCGTTTATCGGGAATGAAATTCAAATGCGAAAGATTCAAAATAATTTGAAAGTCTCGCGCAAACTCCGCGACAAATGCTCGTGAGCAACATTGCAGGGTTATAATTATATTTTGCAACATTGCAGAATTATAATTATATTTCTTGTAAAATATGAAACTTAGGCTAATTTCACTCTCCAGTGACCACCCCTAAAAGCAACCATTCTGAACCACATAAACAATTCAGAAAGACTGTAGCTTGGGTAATTCAGGATTTAGAGCTATGTCGACTATGCCGTTTCTGGGTGTCGTCATTTTTAGGACTTTCGTCCCGGATTCACATTTTGGCACATATGCCATGTTGACCGCCATGGTCATTTTACCCTAAAACAGTTGAGATAATCTGTCCTAAATGAAATGCATACAAACTCCTTTACAGGTCCTAGACTAGAATGGATTCGCCTTTTGCCCGGCTTGAAAATTCTATATTTGGAACTGACAGACTGACAGTGCGATACCTAAACACTCCTCATTCGTGCGTAAAATTTTCCCCGTGCATATATTTCTGTGTATCGCTCTTAAAAATTCGGGCGGAATTAATATTTTAACAAGTTCCTCTTTTGCACTTTTGAATAATAACAGTGAAGTGAACTCATAAATCGTGAGCCGCTATGTTTTATGCATTTTCTGCCAGGCACTTCCTTTCCCGCGTCCTCCCCAAAACTCCTTGCGCGCTCGCTCAGCTTAGCCACTGATCTATGAAAAAGCCTGTAGTGTTTCTATATTTCATTTCTTTAAAGCGCCTGGGAACGAGGATGGACAGGTCACATTATGCTGTGAAGCAAAAGGGAGATTTTATTTTTTGGATTTTCTTTTTGTTGATTTGGCTAAAGAGAAACCAGCGTTATTAAGTGGTCGTGATGCACAGAACTTAGGATATTTAAAGATTTATGCGGACGAAGTTCCAGCTGTTGATATTAATAGTGAGGAAAAAAGTAAGAGTACACAATTTTCGCCCATCGCTCAGCTTACAAGGGAGTCTATTCTATTACAATGATTATGGGGAAGTACATATTCTAGTCTGGAAGAGGAAAGCCACTTGGAGATTCATTGCGTATTGAAGTAGACCCATATTTCTAAAACCTGTACAAGCCCCGCGAAGACGAGTACCAGTTGCAAAATTGGAAGAAGTGAATAAGGAATTGAAAAGGCTATGTGAGGAAGATACCACAGCTTCGGTGACGCAGCAAACAGAATGGTTATCAAATATGCTTGTGCCAGAAAAAGCTGATGGGAGAATTCGCATAATTATGTATAGGTCCAAGTCGAACTTTAAATAAAGCTATGAGACGTCCTGTTTATAATTTATTATACCAATCATTAAAGAGCAGTTACCGTATTCAACGAATGCTAAAGTTTTCACAGTGGTGGACGTTTCGGAAGCGTTTCACAACATCGAACTAGATTATGAATCATCTTTGCTCACAGCTCAAGGGCCAAATGGACGATATAAATATAAGCGAATGCCTTTTGGCATTTCATCGGGACCCGAGAAATATTAGAAATCTAGAAGACAGTAGGAGTTTCTTGAAGGATTAAATGGCGTGATTAATATTGCGGATGACATATCATTATGTAGTTTTGGGCGTGGTGAAAAATTTCAATAAGTGATTGAAGACCTTGATAGAAATTTAATTGCATTATTGAATTAGTGTAGAAATTGATATTTTCGATTATCTGAAAAAAAGATCAATTCAAGTCAACATCAGTCAATTTCATGGGACATGGACTAACTGATCAGGGAATTAAACCGAATCCTGAGAAAGTCAGTGGAATTCGTGATATGCCAAGCCCTGTGAATAAAGCTGGATTGCAGCGGTTGTGTGAATATTTTTCAAAATTTTGTCCTAATTTAAGTGAGACAGTGTTACCATTAAGAAATTTGTTCAAACAAAACGCTGAATTTAATTGTACACGGGTCCACGTTTGTTGCTGCAAAGCGACTGATTGCATCAAGTACAAGTTTGCGTTATATTACGATGTTAAATTACCAGTTACTCTGTAAGTAGTTGCGAAAAAACTATTGGGGGTGGTACTTATGCAGGAGGAAAAACCAGTTTGTTTCACGTCCAATACATTGAATGATACTGAGAAACAATATGCTCAAATCGAGAAAGAATGTTTAGCTATCGCGACTTGCATGAAGAAGTGGCATCAATATAATATTTGTTTGGTTAACAAAAAATTGTGGTGCAGACGGACCACCAACCATAAGAAACAAATTTTAAGAAACCTCTGGGGAATGCTCCGCTAAGACTGCAGCAATGATGCTTTAATTTCAGCAGTACAATTTTAGAAAAGAGGAAAATAACTTCATATAGCTGATACGTTGTCACGTGCGGCATTAAAAAAAGCTGATTCACTGGATTTAGAGTCGGAAGCCGTATTTCGAAAAGAAAAATCAGAAATGGGTTTGAAACTCTCTATGATGTCAAATGAGACATTCAAAAGAGTTCAGGATGAAATGATGAAAGATCGAACATTGAAATAGTTGTTGCAGGTGGTACAAACTGTTGGCCATTGGACAAGTCTTGGTTATAGAACCAGGTCTTCGACTATTTTAATTTTTTAAAGAAGAAATTACATGGAATTACATGGTGATGGTCGATCATTACAGTGATTTTATTGAGCTTGATTATTTAAGAATAGCACTTCTAATGCGGTTATGAAAGCTATGAAGAAGAATTTTGCGAGACATGGAATCCCGAATGAATGTGTTAGTGACAATGAGCAACAGTTCGTGAGTTGGGAATATGAATCGCTTGCGAAAGAATATGGATTACATCGTTACTGAAATGATCTACTCCAGTAATCTGGAAACGTGTGGGGAACAAATTTCATGCAAAAAAAGGAAAGTGATCCTTGAACATGTTGCGAGTTGTGGAAACTGAGACTGCTTGAAAAATTTGACACGTACAAAAACGAAGCAAGGCTTTGCAAACTTGAAAAGTCGCATAAAACATTGCATAAAATGAAAAAAATAGAAAAAAATATGGTTGATCATTGTTTAACTATTTTCAGTATTCAAATTTCCTCATTTTCAATGGTCTCTCGCAATAATAAACTTAATCGTTTAACGCTATCGATATGAAATATCAGTTTGCAACATTGCCATCCTATATTAACAGTCTACACAGGTTTGGCTGCTTGTCGGTTGTGGTTCGGTTGCGGCTCGATTGCAATCGACCAATAGCAACCGTAGACGAGTTATCAGCACTTAAAAATACAGTCGGTTAACAATTCGCTTCCGAACGGAATGGCATGCAACTGCTCAAAACGGCAACACAATTATAACCGAAAATCTTTTAAATCTACGAAATTTAGTTCAGTAAGATATAGAAGGTCTGCAGAGAATTTCATGTTTGTCGAGTATGAGATGTACAGTACATGCACTGCCGAGAAATAACCTAACCAAAAGCGCTGTTGAAGCGAGGTCAGACCGAGGTCGAACTGCGGTTAGATCAAGGTTGGATTGTTGAATCGCCAAATCACTGCAAAAGAAAATACCATACTATAAATATCACTTACGATGATGCTGACGTTGAAAATGACTATATTCGCCTCGTGAATGCACGCTATCATTTTAAACCCTATACAGACGCGGTACGGTACGTTATCATTTTAATTTTTAAGCCCTGTACATACCGGCAAGTTTTCCTTTACAAGCTTTCTTGACCAATTCACTTGCTCGTGTGTACGGCGAACATATTTTCCTTGCCATAAAACTTGGCAAGGAAAACCTGCCGTCTTTATGGAGCTTTATATATAAATTCGAATGCAATCGAATATCTTTGCTCATGCAGTTTAGACGGGAGACTTCCAGCCTTCTTCGGTACGTTAATCACTGACTCACTTCCCTACAAGTAAGTTGATTATTGCATCAGAGAACGTCTTTCAGAGTGGAAGAATTGACAGCTAAGTGACGAGACGGCTAACTTAAAATTTGATAGTATGATAACTACGATTATAGGTTCAAGAGAGTTTCGAGGACATCAGTATTTGCTTTGGTGGCCATTAAACCTCGGAATTCCCCTTTCCGAAGTTCAAACGAAGACTGGTGCCGAGTTTTCCCCCTATAGAATTATGGGGCTGAATATGGGACGCGGGAAAAATACTTTAAAAAAATACATAAACAAAATTCTATTTATGGGAAAATTCAGTTGTTGTGTGCCAAATTGTTTAAATACTTGGCGAAATTCGCCGGAATTGAAGTTCCACTCTCTTCCACGAGACCCAAAAGTATTTGCTGAGTACAAGAGACTGATAAGAAATGACAATTTAAAGGAATTTCTAGTGACTGATAACACTAAGATTTGTGGCAAGCATTTTCCCGAAGGAGAAAGGGTATGCCGAACCCAACTACCAACGATTTTTCCCTGGTCCAAGCCTGTGAAGCGACGCCGTGAAATTATTAGATACGAGTTGCCATCTAAATCTAAAACAGTCAAGGATAATTTTTCAACCACACTGCCAAACAATCAAGTAGCCTTATTTAATACAGATAACAAAGACGGTGACCTCGATATAATTATAAACAAGGAAAACAAGGACGAAAAGGGATACATAAGCACAAAAGTACAAACTGAACAATTTGACCTTCATGATTCATGTAAACAAGAAGCTAAAAAGCTAAAGAAAGAGGTAAACCTATTACAAAATGAACTGGATAAATCCAAGTATAAACTTGAACATGAACCTAAATTTAACATTGATGCTTATCAAGACTGTGATGAGGACATCTCATTCTTTACAGGATTTCCAAATTATGCTTCACTGGTTATGTGTTTTGATATGCTAAAGGAAAAAGCTGCCAACCTCAGTTATGGTGGTCGCAGAAGGTTAAACTTTGATGAAAATAAGAGTGGTACCAAACGAAAGCTATCATTGTGGCAAGAATTTACATTAGTTCTCTTACGACTGAGGCTTGGACTTCTAGAGAGAGATCTTGTGGAGAGGTTTCGAGTGTCTGTGTCTACAGTTTCAGAAATTTTCCGAACCTGGATCAAATTCATGAAGTGTGAATTAGAGCCATTGTGTATTGTATGGCCAAGCAAAGAGCAACTAATATTTTATATGCCCCCAGTATTTAAAGAGCTGTATCCAGAGCTAGTTTCCATAATTGACTGTACAGAGATCAGAATGGAATCCCCGTCAAGTCTTGACAAGCAGTCTTTGTGTTATTCAAGCTATAAAGCACACACAACAATGAAAGCACTTGTCGGAATAACTCCAAATGGTGTTGTATCATTTGCTAGTGAACTGTATTGCGGATCGATTAGTGATCCAGATATTGTGGAGAAGTCAGGATTTTTGAATCACATACAAAAAGGTGATCTAGTGATGGCAGACAAGGGGTTTTTAATCCAGGACCAGCTAGCTGCTTGTGGTGCCAGTTTAGTCATGCCTAATTTCCTCAGTGACAAGTGCCAGTTTTCAAAAAAAGAAACTGAACATAACAAGAAAGTGGCCAGTTTGCGAATACATGTTGAACGTTACATGGAACGTCTGAAGAATTGGCACAATTTTGATAGAGTCATACCTATTACTACTTCTAGTATTGCTTCTGATGCATGGATTGTCATTGCATGCATGTCAAACTTTTGGCCGCCAATGATTACATAAAATGTAGTTAAAATGCAGTTGTCTATAATAATAATTCACATGTTTTCATCCAATGGGTAGAAAGGAACAGCATGCAATAATTTATTTTAAATAATACAAAAAATTAAACTGTGGCAGATGTTAGATTAATAAACTTGCTAATACCTTGTTTGCAATTTTTATTTACTCAGTTGGAAAAGGTATGACCTTATTCCAGCGTGGTTCATTGTAAAGTACCCTGGGGTATACTAACTCTGGGAAAATATTTGCGAAATAGAATGTCTCAAGTTGTGTTATCACATTATTCCAAAAGGTGGTATTATATTCAACTACTTCAGAGTGCAACCAGACACCATTTGACACAACAAAATGACAAGCTATGTAATTACTACAAAAAAGTTGTTGCTGAACTTGATGATAGTACTTGTGCTTGTTGTTTATTTCAATGTTGGTTCCATTCTTCTTGTAGATTCTTAATCTACATGGGGTGTCCTCCATCGATTCACCTTCTTTAGAAGTTACATATTTTACTTCAATCAAATTTCCTTTCTCGGTGATTCCATCAGGACTAGCACCTAAATAGGGATGACTTTCAGATATAAAGAACCCACATTTTTTTACAGTATTTCCTGTTTCTTGACAAAACCTGTCAATAATCTTTGATTCCATCTCAATTCCCTTCTTCATTTGACATGTTTGTACCTTTGGTTTGTACATAAGTATTTCAGATATTGCCTTTGTTGGGCTTGTGCTTTCTTTCAAAAGACATCTTTTTCCCTGTGATGCAGTTATTCTTGGCTTACGCACATTGTACCACAGCATGGAATTATGTTGGTCCCTGGTTTTGCTCTCAATTAGCTCACGGTTGTTAGCTGAATTAAACAAGCATTTTTTGACTTGTTCAGCCTTAGCAGAAATCTCATTTAGTGACATAGGATTTGACTTGTCTGGTGAAGTTATTTTCCACAGATATTCATCAGGATGCAGGTTTTCTAAAATACCCTGTGACTCAGTTGCATCAGCAGAATTATCAGTAACTTCTGGAAGATCATGTGGTAATATTAAACTTAAGCCCATCATCTTGCCAGTCTTTTCTTCAACCTCTTTTACTTTGTTATAAAAAGCTTTCAGGTCACAACTTGAAGTACTTCTTTCATGGGGTGCTCGAACATCACCATACTCCTTTGCAAAATGTTTGGTTACCTTCCCATATTCATGTTTCTGAAATTTTACAGACTGGATTGGTTGTGATGTTAGTTTGCGTTTTCCTGCAGGAACATTCCATGTGCAAGGCTTTGATGTGCATGGTACATTTTCTGATGGTGTCTCACAAATTGCCTTAGAAGCTATCATACCATAATCCATACTAGTTTTGTCTTCTATTGAGAACAAAGTTGCTGCAAGGTGATTACATCGACCATCAACTCCAGCTGGACAGCAACAAAATGCATTGGAAATATCGCCATTCAACGAAAAGATAATCTTTACTGTGTACACTTTTCCCTTTTTCATTGATGGACGAACCTTGCTTAAAACGTAGTGATTATTGTCTTCTTTTTTGGAGAAAATCTGTAGTACATGGCCAGATTTATAAAAATTGTAGCCCTTAACAATAGGCTTTTCTGTGGACAACTGCTTTTTTAGTTCGACATCTTCTATCAAGTACTTCCAAATGTTGCGATAAGAAATTCTTGGGAGATTGACTGTTCCACACTCAAACCCAGAGGAAGGGAAATTTTCATTCTCTAGAGGGTGTACTTCTTCAGCAAGGCCAAACTCTACTCTTTTCTTTGCCAAATTTACACCACCATCTGGATCCACTAACTTTTTGTGTAGTCCGTTTTTAATGTAATCATTGACCCTGTTTTTTAAAGAAAACAGGACAATATAAATAAAACATATGAAAAGTTGAAGTTTAAACAAAACAACTTAAGAGAAAATCACATATCAAATATTACGAATAATGCATGAATTCACATCGTTTCTTATATCTTAGGAGAAGCAATTCTTGTAAAATTTTATATTTATTTAGGAGGGATTAAAAAATAAAGCTTCTCTCCCATGCACATATCAAATAAAAGTTATCGATTTAAAAAACCTTGGAACCGCAAGTCAGTCTAGAACAAACCTTTTCACTAACTCTTCTCGCTTCCCCGTGACTTTCGCACCACGGCATGATAACCACCGCTTCAAAACTGCAACTGTACATTGTTCCACGGGTTTTTGAAGTTTTGCACCTGGTATGTCTTCTTCTTCGAGTGCTAAATCACCCGAATTTGACCTTAATAAGTCCATATTTGTTTACATTTAAGTAAATAAACTTTTACAAATGTAAATTGAATTTGAAAAATTTACATTTTCCCGCGTCCCATATTCAGCCCCATAATTCTATAGGGGGAAAACTCGGCACCAGTCTTCGTTTGAACTTCGGAAAGAGTAATACTTGTCACAACGAATAAGCGTGCATACGTGTATTGTTATATTGTCATGCATAAGCCTGCAGGCTGGCCGAGCTATCTTTTGTAATTCTTATATTTGGAATATTACAACTAGCAGAGACCAAAATTAATTTAGGTGCCGGAATGTGTTATGAATGAATATAATTTTCTATACAGGACAGTTTTCTTGCCACTATCTCTAAAACACGTGAACACATTTCCTGTATATAATACAATACATGCAGGGTAATGCCTTGATTAGCAGAATTTAAGCCTTTAGTATTCGCTTTGAAGGTATAGAAATATTTCAAAAATTATTGTCGCATGTGATTCTTGAAATAGATAAATACATTTCTGTTTTCATCGCCAATCTAGTTGTTATTGTTATTTTATAATTAAAGACAATGATTGCCAAATTAATTATGTCGTACATGTTGTCTGTTAATTTCGTATTACAAGGCCTCGTGCTTGTTACTACACTGGCCAATTTTGCTTCACTCTCTACCGTTCTATTAGAAAGGCGGGCTTAAAATGTCACCTTGGTTAGTTGCTGCATTTCGTTTCCTTGAAGGCTCGCCAAGCTGACTTTTGTAATTCCTATAGTCTAAAAATATTTAAAACAGATATCACATTGCGGTGTTGGAATGTGTTATGAATTAGCATCTTATAATACGCTCAGAATCTTTATCTAGGTTCAATGAACGTCATTTTCCACGGGATCAGTTTTCCTGCCACTCCTTCTGAAACACAGCAGAACATTTGGGCCATTCAGTGTAATAATAGATAAAAAGAAATAAAGTTAATCACCTAATTTAATGCACATGCTTCAGAAATTTTCTGAGCTGGCGTTCAAGGTTACATAAACATTATATATTTTGAACGAAATGACTAGTGTGATAAATTATACATTTAAGAGAGTGTCGGGGCCATTATAGTACTTGCTTTGAAGGATTTTGTTCGTCACATTTCTCCAGCGTACATGCATAAGAGCATAATTATTGTTTTCGGCATGCAACTAGAGAGTTGACTTTTGTAATTCTTATAGTTGAAAAAATGTACAAATTGAATTCCAAGGCTGCACAAAAAAGATTAATTGATAATCGATTTTTAATCAATTACGTTTTCAACGGAAAATCTCGTGTGATAAGATAATATAGCATAGACTTGCTTTGATGGTAAATGGATAAATTTTGATGATGTTCACAACTCACACGCAAGCGTGCATAAGTGCATAATTATATTGTCATAAGCATGCAGTCTGGCCGAGCTGACAAATTCTTATATAGTTGGAAATATACAAAACTATCACAGACCGGTATGTGTTATGAATTAGTCTGCAGGGATGCAGCAATTATTTTCTATAGGATCATGCAGTTTTCTGTCCACTCCCTCTAAAACACATGAAAGCATTTCGCCTACACCTGCATTAATGCGTAATTCATTGGTAAGCGCTTTAAAGAAATAGATAATTTTTATAATTATTGTCGCATGTGATGCTTAAATTAGATAAATATATCTCTTTTTCCATAGCCGACCATATCCGTCCAGTTTTACATAAATTCGCTGATTGAAGTAAAAGTCAAGTTCATTTTGAGGAAGCCTTTAAAGAAGAAAGATCATAAAAAAAAATGTCGTGCCTGTCGTCTATTAACTTCGTTTTGCTCGGCCTCGTGGTTGTTTCCACTGGTCAATTTGGCGTCTCTACCGTTGTAAGAGAAAGGAGGGCTTTAAACGTCCCCTTGGTAAGTTGCTGCATATCGCTTCCATGTTTCAACTCAGATTTGGGTTTTATGAAATATGATCAACGTGTGCAAATCCCGCCCGATAAGTCGTGAAAAGTTTAGAACTTTTCTTTAAAAAAAAGATTGAAAGAGCTGTTACATTATATACCTTTAACATTGTTTCAACTGAGAAAGATATTCGTTTTTTTCCGCATAGAATGGGGGTATAACGCTAAATTTTGAAGAGGGTATGCGTGATTTCATTGTTAACGGAAAAGGCGTTGGTATTCAAGGACAGGTATAGTAATTTATCGGCTGTAAATTATTTCATTAACTGAGAAGAAATGGGGATTAATTTTTTAGGGTGTTATGATTATAGTGTTAGCAAAGCTAGAAAAATTCGATTTTTTTATATTGGATTGCTGAACATGGTTTATTAATCCTCCTAATAAAATCCTAACATTAATAATTATTTTAGACTTTGGTCGCTTTCCAAGCTACTCTTACAAATAGTAATATCGGACCTAACTACGCCGATTGCGCAATTAAATTCAACGACGTAGCTTTAAATATTGGAAACGGCTACAATCCAAGCACCGGAAAATTTACTGCTCCCACTGCAGGTCTTTACCAGTTTACTGCAACGTACCTTCAACGTGTTGGATACAACTCTCACGTTAAGCTGTTAAAGAATAATAATATGATCAGTGAAATACATGCAAACCACAAAACTTACGATCAACTGACGAAAACAATTTTTGTAGTTTTGGAAAAGGGTGACACCTTTTGGATTGAGTTGGTTAACGGTAGTACCTATGCAATTCTTGGGACTGGTCGATATACCGAATTCGGTGGATTTCTCTTGTCAGCCAGTTTCCAAAAATAATCACAATGACCAGAATTAAGCGCTCACTCAGGCATCATGCATGCATGCATGCGCATTGTCTAAAGTGCTACTTACTATATCGATCATGTAAGAACTTTCATATTATTCCAAATTATTTTGCAAATTTTTATTCACTTTGTATGAAAAAGTAACCAAAGTGCAAAAATTAATTGGTTCAACAAATCAGATTTACAGTAATTATGTATAAGAAGTATAAAATAATGTGATTTCAGTAATTTATATAGAGCTAATATATAATTTTAGTTAAATATTAAAATGAAAGTAAATTTATATGCATACATAGTTGCGCTAACACATGTTACTTGTTTGACACATATTTCCTATTCTTTTATTTAGTCAATAACATTTTGCGTCAATCATATCTAGCCCAGCAAGCCTTCAAACTAATTCGTTAAAACCGTTCATAAATAGTTCGAACGCTTTTAACTGAACGTTTATTTATTCGTTCGTATTCTCGTCTTACTTTAACACGTTCGTATTCTTGACTGAATTCGTGAAAACGTTTTCTAGATTCGTTGGAACGTTATGCCAGATCGTCCTCTAGTTACCCTTTCGTTTCAACGAAATATCGTTAACGTATGTTTTCCTGGGAAGGTCACAATTTTAAAGGGAACGGGAGCCAAATTCTTTATAGGAGCTCGTTTTTGACAACCGATATTCCGAGAAGCGTGAAATAAATTTTAAAGTTTTAAAAATTGGGAAACAGCAAAGCTTAAATCTGTAAAGATGTCCACTAATCTTTCCGATTCACAGGCCCTTCAGTTATATCTGATTTTCAAGGAGACCTAAATGTCTACAAGCATGCAATCTAAAATACACAAATATACAAATATAATTCGGACAAGTGTTTCGCCAAAGTTTCGAGATCACACATGCTCAAACATCAAACAAGTTTTGTGATTGATGAATATAATTATCTTAAAGATATTGTTAATGTCCATTTTAACTATATTCCGGACTGACCTTCAAAATGGCTATTAAATAGATTTTTAAATTTCTCAAAAGACAGAGATTCATAGTCATTAACTATGCCACTAGGTAAGGTGTTCGATGGTGTCCAAAGTTGCATATAAACAAGGTTAATTAATATTCGATTTTTTATTCATTATTTATAATTTTATTACGTTTTGAACGAAAAGACTCGTGCGATACAATTATATACTAGTATGATTGTCACAACTCAAAAGCGTGAATAAGTGCGTAAATATAATGTTATAGGCATGCACGTTGGTTGAGCTGTCTCTTGTAATCTTTACAGATGTACCACAGACCAAATGGAGAAGCCAGAATGTGTTATGAATTAGTATCTTAATGCACTTAAAATCTGAGACTAACGCCTGTATTCTAAAAGCTCACTCACACTCAACTGACTCATTGAGTGGGAGATCTTAATCTTCTCATAACGTTTCAATGGCGGTATTTCCAGCCAAACAGGGGCTTGATTTTCAGTGATTTACCTTATATCTTTCCATCTATTCAGAAAAAACTTTCTCATTGATCTGCATTAACGAAATTTATATGTCACACTCGATAAGTATGAGTGTGAGTGAGCTTTTTGAATACAGGCGTAAGTCTGGGATAGCTGATGTTCGTCAGTCATTTTCTATAGCATCAGCTTTCTTGCCTCTCGAGCTCCTCTAAAACAGATAAAAACGTTTCGCTATACATGCATGCACGCAGGGCAATCAATTCATATAATTAAAAGAAAATTTAAGTCATTATTACTCTCTTTGATGATATACATACATTTTATAATTATTGCCGCACGTGATGCTTTGAATAGACAAATATATTTCTGTTTTCATCGCCGCTATCAATCCCGCTCTATCCACCCACCAGTTTTACATAAATTCGCTGATTAAAGTAAGCCTCACGGGTACATTTAATGTAGTATTTAAAGACAAAGAGTCGTTCATTTTGCTAGGCCTTGTCGTTGTTACTAATAGTAAACTTGGCGTCTCTACTGTTGTAAGAGAAAGGAGGCTGGTTTCTATAGTTGAAAAAATTACAAAACAAACAGAGACCACATTGCGGTGTTGGAATGTGTTATGAATTCCAGGTGATCACGTGACAAGCTCGCAAAGCATTATTTTGCAAGGAAATAGAAATCTATACCAGTGTTCAATGCGCGTTTTGTTATTTATATTTTCACAACGAACACTGGCGAATTCTAGCGAATACAGCAAGGTATGACGCATTTCATTATATGAGGCATTGTTTTGGCATTTTTTTTTATTACGGTGAACGATTGATGGAAGATGACATAGTGGTCTTTTTTGGGTCTTACGGGATCTTGTAGTGTTGTTTTTGGTCTCGTATTCCGTAGCATTTATAGCCAAAACCACCAAAAAGATAACTAAAATTATCCGCATAAGGAAGGCAGTTTTACACACGTTTATCTTTATTGAATGTTGGTTATGTTTTCGTTATTTTAGTGAATATTTCCGATTCCAAATTTTGATTATGTCAAAGAAACCCCACACGCGAGACAATAGGTATGCATAATTTGTGGTCCCATGACTGCGTTGTCATTCTCACGACACCTTCAAATGAAGCATTTTCACGGCCTCTCGATGACATGAAAGCAGCGGCAACGTGATAGCTTAAATGAAACTGCAATATCAGCTAGATAAAGGAGGTTCTTTGCACAATTAAAACGTTTGTATGATTATTTCAGAGTCCTAGCAGCATAATCAATTTCCTGCAGCTCATTTATAGCAAAATAATTGACTGGCGACGTCGAGCTAACCGCGTGGTAGATCGTAAACTCCCTATTATTAGATGACGTCAAAAAACATTGCTTTGAGACTACAAAACTTAAAGGCGATTCTCCATTACCGTACGCTTCACCCGCGCGGGCGAAGCGGCTTTTGAAATTCTGTCCATGCGACCGTGACGGGTCTGAAAAACAAAGCACGCTTCGCCAGCGCGGGCAAAGCGGATGTAATGGAGAATCGCCTTAACGAACAAGATTTTCGCAATTCCACGCTCAACTGGAAATCGCAGTACATTAAAAAAAACAAATTTTGTAATATATGTCACATATGTGTATGCTAATTGGGCATTTTTGTTACACTTTCTTGAAAGTACATCCGGCGCTTAACCAAGTTTATTGTTACAAATCTGGTAAAAGTTAAAATTCGGGCAGATTGTATAATTAAAAAATTTGAGCGATTTTTTTGCCACCCAAAACGAAGTTGCGACCACCCACCCGCACCTACAAAAACGAAAGAATATGTAATACAATGTCTTGCCTGCATGACTTTTATACAAAACTCTGTTCGTGTCTCAGATTTAAAACAAATTTCTGCGGCAGGCCTAACCAATGTTAATTTTGAAACTGAAAAAACTTGCGCCTTTTGACTGCAACACAGATGGCTTCACTACAATACTTGAGAGTATACAAATGCTTTCGCTGCACAAAACATCGTGAAAACTTTCCCCGACTGGCCAGGCACACACGCTTCTTCGTCAGCTCTTGAGGAAAAATACTTTCCATTTAAACTCCATGATGCTCGCCAGTCATTTTCTATAGAATTAGTTTCCTGCCACTCCCTCTAAAACGCATTATGTAGTCAATAGTCAATAATCTAGTCAGATAGGACATAGTCAATCATTTAGTCAGATAGTCAGATGGCTAGTCAGAGTGTAAAATTTCTGAGTGGTGAAGGTCATTTCTGTTCGTATAGTGGTTCATTCAACTACCTCAGCCCTTTGATCTTTATTTAGACAATTTCTTTTGTCTTATTTAAATGTTAATTAGGCTTCTCGTCAAGTTGACAAGAATTTCGAGAAACTTTCTTGTTAATGCAAAATTGAAACCTTTTCAATATGGGAGCTAAAAGGAGAAGGTTGATTAGCTGTGTCCCACTATGAAACTACGCACTATCATTGGATCACTAGCTTTCTTCCTCCATGCAGTTTAGTCACCTAATCGCGCAGTATATTTTAAAGTAGTTTCCCGTAAAAAAACATAATTAAATAATTCTATTATGCAGTATAACATTCCAACTAAATTGATCTATTTATATGACTGTTTCAGTTGCTGGAGCTGCTGCAGCCATGAAGGAAGGAAGGAATTTTTTATGCTTAACACCCAATGAAGAGGAAGCAAGGAACGTAATTAATGCGCAAAATTTGTGTCAATTGCAAATGACAATGCATTTGTAATTTGCTGTTTTTTATAATTTTTTTTTATAAAACTAATTATATAATTCTATATACATGATTCTTTGCATTTGACATTAGTATTTTGGTTGTGATGTGAAGTTCTGCAAGTAAGCTAAATTTTGGCAGACTCAAGTCGCTTTAGGTTCTGGAATTCAGCTACCCAATTTTTCACAGGTCGGTTTCGCTGCAGGCATTTTCGGCAGGCTGAAGGACCGGCATTTTAGGTGTCTAAAATTCAGATACCTCCTTTATCTCTGGTCGGTTAATATATCCGATTTTGGCAGACTCAAACCGTTTAGGTGTCTGAAATTCAGATACCTTAATTTATCTCAGGTTGGTTAATATATAAGATTTTGGCAGATTCAAACCGTTTTAGGTGTCTGAAATTCAGATACTTTAATTTATCTTAGGTCGGTTAATATATAAGATTTTCGCAGACTAAAGCCGTTTTAGGTGTCTGAAATTCAGATATTTAATTTATCTTAGGTCGGTTAATATAAAAGATTTTCGCAGACTAAAGCCGTTTTAGGTGTCTGAAATTCAGCTTTCAAATTTATCGCTTGTTGGTTAACATGAAATGATTTTGAATTTTTGGCAGACTCAAACCATTTTAGGTGTCTGAAATTCAGAGACCTTATTTATCTCGGGTCGGCTAATATATACGATCTTGGCAGATTAGAGCCGTGTTATAGATGTCTGAAATTCAGCTTCCCAATTTATCATTTGTCGATAATATATAAGATTTTGGCAAAGTCAGATTTGTTTTAGGTGTCTGAAATTCAGACACCTTGTTTATCTCAGGTTGCAGTTGATAGAATGATGTCTCGTTTAGTTCAATACGTTGTTTTTAGCAGAGTCCTAAAAACTGTCTGCAAAAAACGCCAATTTGATTTCATAAATTTATATCTTTGAATTTTTTGGTTTTTTTCATTATTTTGGGGAAAACAAATTAGTTTTGAATTATTTAAAATAGTTTGGAACGCGTTTTTGGCTAAGGTAGCTTGGTCGGTACCGA